TGTACACATTCATAACAATTTATTGAAAAATTCTAGTACATAGAAATGAAATTGATGTTTTATACTAACATTATATCCAGTGATACTGTGGATTCTTAAGGATTCTGTATGTACACATTCATAACAATTTTATTCTCACTTTCAATCATTTTTTACCTCTTAAATTTCTTGTGCTTACCTTCTTGCTATATCCAGGACTTCTAGTACAATGCTGAATAGAAGTAGTGACAGTGGACATAGATGGGACTTTTGAAAATCTACGTACAAGGATCTCAATCCTGAAATTCTAGTTCAGTAGGATTACATTAGGAGCCTAGAAAAATACACATTTTACAAGTATTCCAAGTACTCTGATATAGAATATTCTAGAAACACACTTTAAGCACTACTTTAGGGGATACATTTTACTCACCTGCACAATTTTCATAACAAAATTGGAAAAGTGCACCCTTATTTTTTCCTCCTTTCCCCACCTCCAATATCCATGCATTGATAGATATATAAAATATTTTTTGAAACCATATTGTGCTTCTTCTTTTGTTTTGCTTCTAGCTCTGGAAATAATATACATGTAAGGGTCTGAAGTTTTAAATGATTGACTGGCTTTGGAAAGCAAAAAATATTTGTTCCTAGGTAAACAGTTATATTTTAGAAAAAAAAAGCAATAATTTTCAAAAACTGTATTTGTATATTGTTGAGGTCACTGTTGCATTCAATCCTTTCTATATATGTACTCATATCCACTCCAGTGCACACCTAGAAATGTAGGCATTGTCACATGGTGGAATAAGCATGGGAGAAACCAGATTTGGGAGGATTCAGGTTCATAAAATAGACTTATATAATATAAAATCACTTTAAAGAAGTAGAGATACCAAGGGTCTAGTCACAGATCAAAGGGGGATATGTATTTTTTAGATTAAGAGATAAAAGATATCACCGATGTTTATTGAAAGGAGTAGAAATATAAGAATAGCTACAAATAATTATAGAGTTGGGACTAGGTAGGACCTTTAAGATTATGTTATTTGACCCTTGTATTTTTATGGGTGACTTAACTGAGGCCCAGACTGACAGAGTGATTTATCCAATGTCACCTGGTGATGGAGTGGTGATCCTAGGATCTGCACTGGCCATCCCTGACTCCCATCCCCTTATTCTTTCCCTGATGCCATCAGATACTTTATCATACAGAATCATGAATATAACAGGAATCTCCAGGAATAAAGACTGGAGATATATGACAAGTCTACAAAAAGGAGCCCTTCAAATAGGATGAGAGTGGGGTACAAGAAAACTGATTTTGTGAAAGGACTGTTAGAGCGAAAGATAAATGTGAGAGAGAGGGTGAAGGGAAAAGAAACAAAAAATTAATTAAAGGCAAAGTAAATGGAAGATGATCTTCCAATGGAAGATAATCAGGAATGAAATGTCATACAAGAATTCAAGAGCATGGAAAAAAAGGATAAAGTATTTTATGTCCATTTTCATCAAAAGTAGATCTTTCTAGAATTACTTCAGTAACAAAAGAGTCAGTAATGGAATAGTATGAAAGTACAAGTAAACATTTTTGAAGAGGGATAAATCTCAGGTAGTAAAAATATTAAGTTCCTAGGTATCTTAGTCACTTTCTCATCACCGAGACATAGTACCTGGTACCTGCAATGTAAAGGAAAGGGATATGTGGCTCAGTTTGTAGAGGTTTCAGTCCTCAGTTGGCTGCTTCCAAGGTTGGCTGGCATGGCAGAGGGGTATGACAGAAGAGAAAGAGCTCATGGTGTGGCAGGCAGGAAGGAGAGAGGGACAGAGGGACAGAAGGAGACGAAGACAAAGAGACGGAGACTGAGAGACCAAGAGAGAAGGGAGGGAGACATGACATCCCTGGCCACACCCCTAGCAACCCAGGGACCAGGCTTTACCTCCCATCATCATGTTTAGTTTTAAATTCACCATACCTCCATGGTCTCATCATTCCTAAAAGCCCCACCTATGAGTTCATGAGCCCTTGTTGTGGACAGCTAGGTATAAACCATAACACCAGTCCTCTAAAGTGGTAAATGAACATGAAACAGTAATTCAAAGATGTATGTCTCTATATCAAAACATTTGCTAACAAAATCAGAGCAACATTGGAAAGTGTAAGGCTGGCTATTCCTCCAAATGACTGAAGCATTTTTCTATAAATCTGGATAATGAATAAAAATACAAAGTGATGGGAAATCCCAAACATTTGGAACAAATCACAGAGCATTATTTCAATGGGGATATAGTTTATAAAACTGTGTGAGTTTATTTCCTTACTATTTGCACTCTCTTAAGAACCTAAACCTAAATGTTATAATTATACCATGGGTTTACAGCCTGGTTAACATGTGAAAGTATTAACTTTCATAATTCATTTGATCAGCAAAGATCCCTCTTGTTGTCTCTTGCAATAAGAGGATCTGTTGTTAATCTGCATTTAAGAGAAAATAAATGTGATACAGTGGTAAGGCAGATGTCTTAGAACAGTGAATTTAGAATGTGGCTAGTGCACCAAATAAATGTACTAAGAAAATCAATACACAATCAGTATTCCATATCCACGAGTTCTACATATACAAAATCAACAGTAACATTAGAAAAAAATCACATCCAAATATTTTGTTCTTATCCTCTGAACAACACAGTATAACAATTATTTAGACAGCATTTATGTTATAAGAATTATATATAATCTAAGGATTATGTAAAGCATACAATAAGATGCGTATAATTCTATGTAAATGCTATGCTGTTATATATGAGAGACTTGAAAATTTGAGGATGTTGGTTTCTCTGGCGGGCTGAGGAAAGTCCTGCAACCAATCCTCTGTGGACATTGAGTGCTCACTAAAGACTAAGACTTGAAATCAGGCAGACATGGACTAAATTGGCTCCCAGTTTAGTCACTCGTTTGTTATCTAGCCCTCCTCTCTGCTTTTCTCTTCTCTCCATGTACTCTCCCCACCTTCCCTCCTTTCCTTCATTCAAAAATATCAGTAGAGCACTTACTATGTGCTAGGTTAATGTCATAAATACATTCTTAGGGAGAACATGAAAAGTACATAGCAAAGAAATTTGTCATGTACTCATTCATGGGAGCATAGATACAGGTGCAGAAATGAGCCAGACTCAGGCCAGTTCCCAGTAGACTAAAAGTAGAGAATGGAAGACAGGATTTAAGGACCAATTGAAGTGAAATTGCCAAGAGCCCTGAATGCAACAAGCAGTTTCAGATTAGAATTGACTAAGGACTGGGATTTAAGTGGCGAGGGAGGCAGTCCAGCACCGGAAGGCCAAAGGAGGGGACAATTTCAAGAGGGACAGATTGCTAAATACTTCAAAGAAACCAAAAAAGAGGATGGATGTAATTGTTAGAAAGACATTGACCTCTTAAAATAGTGTTAATGGAGCGAGGCAATAGAAACCAGGACTGGGATGAAAGAAGGGAATTGAGAGTAAAAACTGGAGCCAGGGAATCCTAGAATCCCATGGGACTCTACACAGAATGACAAGGAAATGGTGTGGTGGAGACAGAGGAAGCTGCAAGGTCAAAGGCAGACACATTTTCCCTAACATGAAGAATGCAAAAGACCAGTGAAGGTTCTAGGATGAGGAAATATAGAGGGGAGGGAAGCTGAGGTAGAGAAGGAGGCTGGCAGAGTCAGGGTGGCAGAGGGACTCTGAAGGACATGACCCACGCTGAGGGTTCCTTTGTACCAGAAGGTACCAAGGTAAGGTTATCTCTACCCTGGCTGAGAGCACTTATTAGATAGAAGAGTAGCAGCATCGGGGCACAAAAAGACCAAGTGATAGAAGTTGCAAAAAGACAAACATGAAAGAGTTTAGCTCATCAATAGGCCCAGTGGGAGCATCAAACCATTCTGATTCACACCTCAGAAACCTTTCTGCTGCCTCTTCTGTGTTTCAGGGAGCAGTGTGGGGCAGCAGTGTGAACGTTCAAAGGATAAAAAACCCCTTGATCTTCACCTCTCCTTCAGAAACAATGACACGGGATGGTAGAGAGTACAGGTCCAATCCCAAGACTATCATTTGTGCTATACATAACCAAGTCAAGAGAAAATTGGAGGTTGAAATGAATGGGTATTTATGTAGAGATAAATACATCCTAGAAGTTAGCGGTTGTATCAAAGGGCCACTCAATTCTTTGAGAACATGCCTGCTCTGCGTGCAAAATTATCATTTCTAGAAATCTGACTGCCAAACTGCTTTCAAACTCAAGTACACTTTCTCTCTACTCCTCCACCTCTAAGTTGTAAGGGGCAGATAAGGAGCTACTGAGGCTCTCAGGTCCAAGTCTATTTCTATTTGAGATCTGGCTTGGGAGAAACTGGGCAGAGGGCTTCCCTGGGCACGATGCCCTCCCGAGGGGCTAAGTGAGCAGGGTTTGCAGCTTGGAGCTTGCCACCCAAGTGTAAAAGCCAAGAGAGCACCAAGGCTGCCCCACCCGGCCTGGCATCCCCAGACTAGAGACTCCCCTGGACAGGAGACCTGGGTGTGCACTTGACAAGTAGAGTAAGTGCGTTTGGCGGGAGAGGGCACGGTGCTGACTGGGCACCTTTGCTTTGGAGTCTTCCTTTTCGCAGGAGGCTCTCTGTGGCAACGCTGAAACCCGGGCTGTGGGCAGGAGGCGGGTGTCGGTGCAGAGCACTGACCCCTGGTGCTGTGCTGGCCCTGGGGTTAGGGGAGCACAGGACAGGGACAGCCTGGTCTCTGCTCCAGTCCATAAATCCTTAAAGGGTTTTCTTTCTCTCCCTTCACCCTTTTCTCTCCTTTGCTCTCTTTCTTTCCCTCTCCCTCTTTTTTTCCCTTTTCCCTCTCTTGCCCCCCTCCCTCCCGTCCCCTTCCCCTTCCCCTTCCTCTCCCATCCCCCTCTCCCTGTGCGTGAGCCTCTTTCTCTCCCCTCCTCCCCTTCTCCGCCTGCCTCCCTCCCTCTCTGCATCTCCTTCTCCTCTCAGCGCGCCGGGCGACCCTGCTCCTGCCTCCCACATTAATGGCGGCATCTTCGGAGGACGACATAGACCGGCGGCCCATCCGGAGAGTGCGCTCCAAGAGCGACACGCCGTACCTCGCCGAGGCCAGGATCTCCTTCAACCTGGGGGCAGGTGAGGACGCCCTCTCCTTCCTCTCCGCGCCACCAGCTCCTTCCCGCCCTCGCCGCTCCAGGCTGGCTCAGCCCCCGCCCCTTCTCGGTCCCCTCCCCAGACACCCTCCCCGCCCCTGACCACCAGCCGGGCGCTGCTCACAGCCGTCTTTGTGTGCAGGGCGTGTGCGAGCGCGTGTGCATGTGTGCGTGTGTGTGCGCGTTGCGGAGGTGGGGGAAGGTGGTGCGTGGAGCCCTCCACCCGCCCAGGAGCCGCACGCGGGCTTTCCCCTTCCAGGAAGAAAAGAAAGTGCTATCTGTACTAACAATGATCCCAGTAATCTCCCGGAGCCCCTGCGCCTGCCGTGGGCGGGGGTCTGGTGGGTGAGGCCGGCTGGCCCAGCTACTGCGGGATGGAACTTGTTGGTGACATTCAGACTCTGGTGCCTTTGACGGGAGACTGCTACCCGGCTTGCTGGCGCGAGGTTGAAGTGGAGAGAGGGGCGGGGCCGACCGCTGGGAACTGAACCTTTCCCAGGCTCTAAGCAGTCAGAGCAGTTGGAGAGCAGCCATGGTGGTGTTTGTCCTATGAAGGCATGGTCAACAGGACCCGTGGCGGGCGATCTGGTACTGTCCTTAGGGTTAGTGCGCAAAGTGGTCAAGAAAGAATTAAGTGAATAGTTAGCTGAGGAAGAGGAGGAAGGGGAAAAGGAGAGAGGATAGGAAGGAAGCTAGGAAGAGATGGAAGGAGAGAGGAAGGAGGCAAGGAAGAGAGAGGGAGGGAGGGAGGGAGGGAGGGAGAGAGAGAGTTAGGAAAGGACAAACAACAGTAAGGAGACTGAGGGCTGCCTCAGTTAGGAGTTGGGTCCACTTCATTACCTAATAAGAAATGCCAGAGTTCACTGTTCCCACAGCTGCTGCTGTTCCAAACTCACTCCTGATTAAGTTACTCTGGCCCTGGGAGGAAGTTGTTCACCACTAAATTCACAGTGCTGCCTTTGCCCCATGACTACTAAGCCTCAGCCCTAGCTCATGTCCCTTCCTCTCCAAAGTCTCTTACTATTCTAGCAACTCCAGTGCAACACGAGGGCTTGTTGCTGCAGACTTACTTCCAAAATAAGTTTTCAAAAGGAGACAATACCATTTTCTTTAAGAAACTAAACCTTGAAAGTGGAACTGAGTCAAATAAAATGGACGTGTGCATGTGTGTATGCGGGCGCCAGTGCAACGAAACCCTGCAAATGCTGAGTATTTTGCCTCCTCTTGAGGAGTTTGGGCAAAAGAGAACACTGAGCATGGAGAAGAAGCACTGTTTAGTAGGCACAAGGATGGAAGAAAGGGAATTGGATGTGTCAGAGTAGCCAAGTTGACTGGTGTGTGATGTTCCTGTCTTGGTGATTTGGTTTTTTAAATCATACACAACCCATTACTTCTGAGATGGTTACTTTTGACTTTGGGGCTCCAGAAAAGAGAACTTCACTGAGGAAGCTTTGGTTGGTTTTGGTGGCGTGCCGTAGTAGCTCATGGTGCTCATCTCAGAACTGTGAATCGAGAGTTTTCTGCTTGTATATTCCGCATTAAGCAGATGGGCACAGGGTGTGTTTTAATTGACAGAGAAGAGCTTCTTTCAGGGCCGAGGTTATTGTCACAACCCAGTGATACTAAGCATTACTCCATTGGGCCCTCTGACAACAAACTCAGCTATGATTCTTCAGTGTCTTTGGCTTAGTACAAAAGAAAAAGAGCTAAAGCGGCAGCTAGTAAAGGTGGTTTACCTTGTGGTACTACTTGTATAACAGAACAATAAAAAAAGGCCTAAATGAGAGTTTCAAGTTTCAGTTACTATTCAATTAAGTTGAACCACTTTGCCAACAGATTAAACCCAGTGACTTGCAATGTTTTATTCTGGTTAAATTGCTCTGGAGTCCAATTAAAAGATTGACTCAGGCAGGAGTTGTCTCCCTCTCATCTGGAAATAAGCACGCTAGATAAGTATCAAGTCCATTCTGTATATCTTTCAAAATACCCCTAAGTGCAAAGTGATAAGAGAGACTACAGAGAGAAAGAGAAATACTGCGGAAAGGACATTGGTGTAGTGGGAAGGGCATTTCCAGGAAGGCTTCTGTGCGCCAGGGGAGCTGTCCTATCCCTGTGGTGCTGAAGCGAAGACCAGGTAGCCAGAGACATTGCAAGATGGACAGAGGAGGGAAGCGCACTGGGCGCTCTCCGTGATGGTACTGGGGGAAATGAGGGAGATCTGGACACCAAAAGCTTTTCTATCCCTGCCCACCTACATTTGCCGCCTGTTTACTACTCTTCACGCCTACTGCTGCACTGTTCAAATCAGGCATTCTTTTGCTCTAATCTTGCACCCGCTGCTCACTCCTGGGGCTTTGTTTATTTTCCAGATGGTTTCTGGTTGCTTTCCTAACAAAGTAAGATGCACTTGCAGATGTGCCTTTCCCCTGCATTTAAAAGTAATTGTAACCCCTGATTTTAAAAAGCAAGCAGCCTTGTTTATCTCCTTGAGCAGCAAGTTGTAATTAAACTATTAATGTTATTATCAGTATTGGGGGACACGGAAGCCTGCAAACTCCCAATAAATTACATAATCTGGGTACAGTGACTCTTGTTTGTCTCATGATAGCAATTTATACACAACTTAGCAAGTAGGGATTCGTTTGCCCTTGCTTTCCATTTCTCTCATATCCTCAAATACTCATTTATTGTTTATTCTTTCCAGAGAAATTCTTCATTGTTTTAAACTACTCCATTAATTATACATAAATCCGTCTTTAGTATTTTAGAGGCTTAGGACTTCTTCAAGGAAATAAAATTACATATATTGATTTTACTTAGCTGTCATAAAATCATTTGGCCACCAAATTTCTTCCACTTATGTGTACAGTTGCTAAAGAAAGTAAACTGAGCAGTTTGCAAATGAATGAACTGCTAAAACATTACTTACACCCTGCCCATGATAGCACTTAATAATATGTTGAAAAGAATGCCACAGCTTGAGTGAAGGATATATTCTTTCACCAGTAGTACTACATCAGTCAAAGTAGAGCACCAAAATGTGGGTCCTCCGTCACTGCCTGAAGATGTTAATTTCAAGGTTCAATCTCACCTGAAAAAGTTTAGAACAGAAATTTTGTAAGGCATGTATTTTATTTCTCTGAAAGAACTTTCTGGATTTTAAACTTCTGCTCAGCATTTAGAAGATGCACATAATAATTGCTGTGAAAAAGGTATAAATGCTGAAAGAAAATAAGTGACTGTATTTGCGGAAGGTGATCCAGACCTCATTTAAAACTCAGGAAATGGGTTTATTTCCTGAGAAATTCAAATGTGTTAAAAAGACTTTCTGTAGTAGAAGAGTATGTTCACACATTAGTAGCAAATGTTTCAGATTGTGTTCTCACTTAGTAATGAACATCATTGACATTTAGCTTGAAAGAATTCACCCTGTCCTAGGAAGTCAATCTCCCTGCATTGATGTGAATGTGGTGAGGATTTTCAGCTCATGTGGCAGCTTCTTTCCTCTCTTTTGATATATTTTATTTATCTTTATACTGACAAAACAAAGAAGGGTATCCAGTACATATAAAGTGCTAAACTGAAAAGTTCTCTCTAATTACACATTAAAGTAAATGAGAGTGTTATGATAAGGAGAAGTTAATTAAGCACATCTAACACTTCTTAAAGGGGTATCAAAGAAGGAAGACTAATCATCCTGATGATTTAGGAGTCTTTAAATCACAGAAACAATGTCAGGCAATACTGAAAAGAATAAGTACTTTTATAGCCATAAAGTGGGTTACACTTTATTGACATTTCAGAAAGGCTTTGTGTGGGGGAGACTTTCAAATGCATAACACCACACTCTAGCATGCTTATGCTCTTTGTAGAGCTGAAATCCATTTTGATGCCTAATATCACCCAAGCATAGCTGTTTCTGACTTCCTCTGGTCTCTTCCACTATGTCAGGCCAAAAGATAAAGGCAGTCAGGATTGGCTTGCACTAGTGAGGGCATAAATAGCAATATGAAGTTAAAAGTCGAGCCTCAGAAGACATATTTTCTCCTTTATTGGGAAGGAAAAATCTTTACCCGTCAGCCAAATTATGAAAACCCATGGCCCTAAAAAGTGGCAGCTCAGAATATACTATCATCATTTAGCATTGGAAACTGTCCCTGGATGAACTGGGAATGTTTTTATGTTAAAATGAGATTGTTTCATCAACCCAAAACATGGTAATAATCCTCCTTTATTATTTCACTGAAGAAACATAGTGTATTCCTCACAATGTTTTTGTTACTGATTTCAAATTGAAAGCAGGACTCTGCAGTTATAGCTTTTTATGTGGTGGCTCAAACAATTCTTTTAGGAGTTTGTTTCCCAGGTTCAGCAGCTGGAATTCAAAAGACTGAGGACATCACTGAGCTTTCCACTTTATGGGCTGAAGTTAAAACTTAGATCACCTGATAGCCTGTTCTCATGCACTAAGGTGGTGCTGATAAAGGTCACCCCAGATAAAAGGAATAAATATAAACAAGTTACAGGAAAGTAAATAGTAAACAGTATGAATAAATGGGTAAATGTTGAGCTTGGCCTTTCACCACATCACTGTTTCCACTACCACTTCCATATTTCTGAGACAACTAGAAGAAAAAATCTGTATTGGGTAATTAAAAGTCCTTTGGATCTATGGTCTGAGCATTATTATTATTTTTAAAAAACATCAAAGGATTATATTTAGTATTATGGCCAAATGGTAAATTATCCTTTGGTTTATCTGTACATGTCTATATAATTTAATTTAATTTAATGGAAGCACACAGAGGCATGTTTTATATGAAAAAATGTGAAGTAGAGTCCAAAGAAGTTTATTCTAATGAATCTCTTTAGTATGGCTGTGGGCAAATTATCTAACCTTTCAGAGCTTCATTCTTTCCCCTCTAATATGAGGAATATAAATTTAAAATCTCTAAAGCCATCTCCAGTCTAAAAATAACTTGT